GACAATGGAGGACAGCACAGAAGAAGACATTGAGTCTCTGATTGAGGGGATGGCCTACATCCCTGGCCACTTTCATGTGGAGCTCAATCTGAACGGTGAACCCAACGGACCAGTCAGCCTTCGGCACCGGGACACCCAGCTTAAGCGCGAGAGCCTCAGGGCTGAGCTTGAAGCTGAGACGGGACGACTGCAGTACGCTGTGCGCAATATGATGGGCCTGCTGGCCTTTCATGTAGATGAAATGGAGACGGCAGAAGAGGCCTTCCACAGCATCTGCCAAGAGGATCCAGAAAACCTTAATGCCTGGGCCAACCTGGGTTACGTATATGAACGCCTAGGTCGCGAGCTGGATGAGGGGGAGTGCGTGGAGCGTGTGGCTGCCCTTATGGGCCCAGAGATGGGGGAGAACCAGACAGACTGCAGGCTCAGGGTAGCACGGTGCTTGGCTGAACAGGCATACGCACATCCTCATGATGTGGAGCTGGAGAGGGACGAAGATTTACGGGAGAGACTGACATCCGCGCTGATGTTATACAACCGCTCACTCGATAACGGAGAGGAACTAGTGAGCACTTCACAAATTCTTATGTACAGGGAGATAGTTCATACAGTACATATCATTATGTTTTGGGGGAGTTATACCATGTGATATTTTATAATTAAACTAGGCTTGTTATAAAAAAGGTCAAATTTTTTGAAATTTTGAGGCTTATTGACTTTGATATCTGGTCATGAGGGTCCGCTGGGGTCTTTTTTTTAACAAAAAGTTTTTCAAATATTAATAACCAGTGAAGTACTTTTATTACAATATTATTATAGCAAACAACTTTTTTACGCCTTTTCTACGTTGATATCAGCTTTTGACATTTTTGACACCCAAAAAATGTTGGAATAATTTTTTATTCAAGTCATTGTTTTTATTTGTCAGTTTATATGAATTGCATTTTTTGTGTGTTTTTGAATGAGTTCTGAATTAGTAGATATAATTAACCATATTTCGTTAAGTTTAAACTTTAGTTCACGCATTTCCTTTAACCCTCAAACAAAACACAATACAATGCAAAACACGAGGAAAACACCTGTAATAACAAGAAAAGGAAAATTCCTTCATATTAAAACAGTGCATTGTTGTGTTATGTTGATTTATTTCTTACAGATACCAATAGAGGAAAAAATAAGTTGGTATTTCAAAATGGCAACCATTTACATAAGGTATTTACATAAGTATTTTTCACACTTACCTGTTCATCTTAATTTTTAACACATCATCAAACATCTGACTGCCTATCTAAACATTTGAATAAACCATTACTTATCATAAACCAAAACAATAATAGGTTGATCTTAACCTTTGTTTGTTTTAATAGGTTAGATGGAATTGTAAGGGATTCAAACGTATCAGAATCCAATTTGCTAGTTAAAAAAAAAAGAAAGAAAAGAAATTCTGAATCAGCTATGACCGGCACATCACTCATTAAAATACCAAGTAAAAGGCCTCAAATTTGAAGTACAATCTGGGATGTCTTTTTCGATCAATTCTTCAATAGGTAGATCTTGTCTTTCATAAAGGCCAAGGTCAGGGATCTTGGGTCTAAAAAGGTTGGTGACCACTGGTCTAAATGATTAGATTTGTTCTCACTGCCGATTTCCACAGGCCATTAAGCTCGCTACGGATGATGCATTCATACTCAACAGACTAGCAAACGTGTTCTTCCTGTCAGGCAAACTAGAGATGGCTACAGGTATCTGTAACATGGCCCTGGGTGTCCTGACTGATGCAGAACTCAACTGGCAGGCTTAGGGCCAAGGTAAGCAAAATACTTGATTACACCCACTTTTTAATATGTATTTCTGTTTTTTACATGTGCCTGTATATGAAAGCACTCACAGACATTGAATATGTTAAATTAGCGGTGTATTTGTTTATTTTTTATAACCTCCCCTTGATTAATACCACAGGATAAACTAGGATGACAAAAACAAATGCTTCTGCAAAGACAAAGAAACACCCACTTTGTGACTCATGATAAAAAGTGCTCCAAAATGTATGGACACAATGTTATTGCATCTAAAAAAACAATTATGTTAGAACTACTCCCTTTAATTGGCCCAAATTTTAGTGGATTAAATCAGTTCAGTAAAGGGACATGGTGAGAGAGAGAAAAATATTTCAAAGCTTTTGCATTCTCTTATAAATCATAAATGTATTGCACTTCCTGAGAAACTTTATGTCCACTTGCAAAACGTTTGTGATGGAACTAATATAAGATGGAAAGAAAAACAAAATTTCAGTGCATTTGCAAACAAATACTTTTTGCGAGAGTGCAAAAGAATTGTGAGCGAACACAAAAGCATTGAAAATATAACTTACTTTCTTTTCTTCTTTTTTTTTAAATCACCAAGTTCCCTTAAAGGGTTAGTTCAACCAAAAATTAAAATTCTGTCATTAATTAGCCAACTCACCCTCTCGTTCCAAATCCGCAAGACCTTTGTTAATCTTCGGAACACAAATTAAGATTTTGATGAAATCTGAGAGCTCTCAGACCCTGCAGCAATACAAATGTAATGTTCCCAGTCCCAGAAATGTAGCAAGGACATCGCTAAAACAGTCCATGTGACATCAGTGGCTCAACTTCAATTTTGCGAAGCTACGAGAATACTTTTTGTGCGCAAAGAAAACAAAAATAACAATTTATTTAACAATTCTTCTCCCTGAGTTACCGTCTTCTGCCATTTTGGAGAGTACCACGATGCACGTGCGCTCTTTCCCCAGAACGTAATCAGTGTTGTTTACATTCAGGAGAAAACGCGCGCATGTTGAACGTAAACAACGTTGATTTTGTTCTGGGGAAAGCTTGCACATGCATCGTGGTACTTTCCAAAATGGCAGAAGACGGTAACTCGGGGAGAAGAATTGAATAAATTGTTATTTTTGTGCTCTTTGCGCACAAAAAGTATTTCCGTAGCCTCGCAAAATTGAAGTTTAGAACAACATGAGGGTGAGTAATTAATGACAGAATTTTCATGTTGGGGTGATCCCTTTAAGGGCTCTGTACATTTACACAGGTGTCTTTCCTACCAGAGTTACTACAGGTGTAGTTCATCACATTAACATGATCCAATAATGTTTGATAACCAGAAAATTCAATTTGAACTGTATTCATTTGAAACAAACATATGCACTTTTTTAATGGCATCCAAATAATTTTTGGGTCTGCTGTATGTTGTTTATTTCTGCCCACTATTTTTTTCCCGTGTAATCTTGTTTTTATAGTTTTAATGCACCTCAAAATATGTTATTGCAACTTTTTCTTCAGCTTAGTGTCACCACATATGCAAAGGATCTTGATAAAGCCAAGTGTGGCCAAGGTGGCATCCCCGACCGTCAGATTCTGAAAGAGGCCCGTGCTGATCTGGACCGTGTTCTGGCTGTGCGACCCTGTTTGAGGACTCATTTGGAATTGGGTCAGGTAGTTATGAGAACATAAAACATAGACTATGGTCAAACATTTGGACTAAGTTCCTTATGCTCCCTAAGGCTACTGACTTCACTATCACTTTTGATCAATAATACTTAAAGAATAAATTTTCTTGTTTCTTGAGCACCAAATCAGCATATTAGAACGCATTTTACAATAGTAGTTTTTACTGCATTTATCAAAAAAATGCCGCCTTGTATAAGAGACTTCAAAAACATAAAAAAAAATAAAAAAAAATTCATTCCAAATGTTTGACTGGTAGCTTAACTACTTATATAGTTAATAGTTTAAGAGCCTAATATATCCATCTCTCTCCCCTTCTCTCAGGTTTACTACTACATGGGTGTGGACGCTCTGCAGGAGAGCCTGTTGGTCGATGAGATGGCGATAAACCAGGCCCAGGTCAGTCTATCTAAAGCTCTGCAGTGTCCTCTGGGCTCTACAATCTCCAAAACTACAGCTCCTGCGGGGCCGCTGCTTGCTGCTGAAAGGAGAGGAGCAGAACGCCATTGACTGTTGTAGGAAAGCGCTTGAACTGGAACCTCCCAGTGTCCAAGACACGGCAGTCCTGCGCTGCTTGCTACAGGCTATTCTAGTGAGCTTCACCCAGAGTGGGAACGACACGGGTCAAGTTATAATCCAATTAGAGGAATGTTTAAAGCAGGCAGAAGAGCGATACGGTGCAAACATTGTTCAGACTGAGTTGAAGGCACTGTGCCGAGCACACACGGATGAGGTGACGGAGCTCTCAAAAGATCTGGTGAGGAAGGGGAGGTTGGAAGTGGTTAGAAAGTTGCTGAAGAGTGTACAGCCACAAGGGAAAAAGTTCTCACTGGGAAGGTCCATGTCTATTTGAAAGAGTCTGTGGAAAATGGGAAGGGACTCCAGATAATGTTCTGTTGGGCAATTGTGTGATGTCCATGAGTTGTGCAAGTTAAGACAGGAATTTGACAATAATGTTGCAACTCATTTCAAACTAGAGGTATTGGTAATGCTGAGTGATGGACAAGGGAAATGTGTTCTAAAATTATTACTATGGTGTTAAAGTCCAAAAGGTTGTTTTGGAATGTCTTTATGGCAATTCTTTCCTCCAGCACATGCCACAAAGCATGAAGAGCCAGTTAAACAAGAAATACGTGTTTAAACCTGGAGATGTACTATGGGGTTCACAAGTCTCAGACCTCACTGAAAATCTGGGATTTTAAAAATAATAAAAGGAAAACTCTTGATTAAAATATTAAATACTATACTATTTCTGGATCACTGATAAAATAAGCAAGTTTGTGAAACCGATCATGTGAACCTCTTGGGAACATTCTCAAATCATGCTGGACAACATGATCAAGTTTTACACAAATGTGTGGTTCATGCCAGCTGGAGTGCTGCTGTCATTAAAGCAAAAGAGGAATATAATAAAGTCCTCATTTAAATTATGCTAATATCACTTGTAATAAAAAATGTCATTATAAAAATCATAAAAGCATGGCTTATTGGAACCATATGGCATTTCATTTTCATCATGAATCCGTATTTTATTTAAATGATAGATAGAGGTCTGCATTAAATAGTAAACACTAAATCAGTCCAGCACTGGTTAATGTTGTCTAAAAGGCTCCAACATCGTTGAGTCTAATTTATTTTATCCAGAAACAGTTTTAAAGCAATACTCCACCCATAAATGAGTTCTGTCATCATTTATTCACTCTCATGACATTCCAAAACTGTATGACTTGCTTTCTTTTGTGGAACATAAGAGATATTTTAAGAAATGTCTTTGTTTTCTGTCAATACAAATGGAAGTCAAAAGGCTCCAATGTTAATATTTTCTTGTGTGTTCTGCTGAAAAAAAAAAAAAAGTCATACTGGATTTGAACAATATGAGCAATGATAAAAATGCAGAGTTAAATATCGTAATATCTAAAAAATAATCAGTTTTATATCTGTATTTTACACCTGTAATGTTTCATATCTCAAATTGCACATGAAAGAAATTTTTCCCCCACCAAAATGGATGGGGGTTGGGATGGTACATTTAAGGTGAATCATTGATGTTGCCGCAAAAGAAATCCACTTCAAAGTTCTGCCTTAATCTCTATAGTTTTCTCAAGGGGTGGGGTGAGCAGAAACATCCTTAATAGCAGGAGGGTGATTTATAGCCAAGGCGTTTAAAGTCTTTTAAGGTCCAAACAGAACATCATTTCAATCTCTGGACCTTTTTTCCTGATAAAAACTGCTTAGAGAATGAAGAGCCTGATACCAGCACAATGAAACTAGGTGTCCCTGCCTTCACTGAGCACCTGGAAAGAACAAAATAAAGAGGAACAACATCAGAGACCTATTCAAGAAGTGATAAAACTACTTAAGAGGAAATTCTTCTGAAATACCTTTGGTGCTGAAGAACGTTAAGAAGTGACTTTTCAAGATCAACTTGATAAAGGTTTCCTTTTTCGGGATCCTCAAAAAACAGCTGAAAAAAAAATTGAGGTTAAAAAAAAATCTTTTGGTATCTTATTATCTCCTCTAATTTAAATGCTAGCATCAGAAGATGGGTATGGATCAAAAAGGTGTCCACCAGTGGTGTCTCTTTGCAGATCTCTTTGTATACCGACCTGTAGATTTTGTGGCTGATATTTTCTTTCTGAATCCCAGGGGGGAAGCTCTTCGCCAAACATAACTGCCAAATGGTCCATGAAGCTGAACAACCCAAAATGAGTTATAAAAATCAAATCTATATTTTCAGATTTTCAATTTAAAGAATAAATCAAATTCCAGCAGTAATTTAATATTTAAGCCTCCCTTCCTCATAAGGATACACATTTTGACTTTGTAACAAACCTGGAGTTTTCGCAGAAAGCAGATATGAAGTCCGTCTGGCTGTGCTCAGGGTAGAGGAACAGCACTGGCCAGTAAAGGACTCCCTGCTCATCCATATAAACACGAGCTCCTGTGGCCTCCTGAGAGCTGATTCCATCAAGCTCCAGATCGGCCAGGGCTCTAGACGCACCTCCATCACCATCACCATCCTCACTGTCCGAACCCCTGTGTCGAGAAGGCTCAGTCTTCAGAAGTTTAATGCCACGCTCCTAAGTAAAAAAAAAAAAAACAGTCATTAAAGATTTTGCTTTCTTGACTCAGCTGAAAAAAATACTTTTATAAATAAACTCTATATCTGCAGTACCTTAATGGCAGCTAACAATGCTTCTTTCTCATTCTGCTCCTTCTTCGCTTTAATTTTCACCTTTCTGGCATCTCTGTCAGCTTCCCTCTACAATAAAAAAAATACACTAAACACAGGAGCAAACACAGCAAAATATATATATATACACACACACATTATATCCATAATATTGCATTCTTCAGTGAAAAAGTTGGAGAGAAATAAACAAAACGAAACAAAACAGTTCTATACAAATACGTCGGTGGATTTTGGTATTGGAACATTATAAACAAAAAAAGTGCACAGTTGGGTAGCGTGAGAATATAAGAAGTAAAAATGCAAATAATAAGATGGTAATGTTCAATTACAAACAAATAAAATGAAAAGTTTAATTGTAACAACTTGAATTTAATATTAATAGATTTATATTATGATCACTAATTCTGTAAATCCTTAAACCTTAAAAGATTTAAAGGAATAGTTCACCCAAAAATGATAATTTACCTAAATTTTACTCACCCTCAGGCCATCTTACATTTTTGCTTTACTGGAACAGATTTGAAGAAATTTTGATCTATATCACTTACCCCACCAATGGATCCTCTGCAGTGAATGGGTGCCGTCAGAAAGAGTTCAAAGAGGTGATAAAAGCATCACAATAACTAAAAAGTAATCCACACAACTCCAGTCCATCAATTAATGTCTTGTAAAGTAAAAAGCTGTGTTTGCAATAAACAAATCTATCCTTGAGAAGTTTTTAATTTCAAACCATTTCTTCTGTGAATATATATATATATATATATATATATATATATATATATATATATAC